ACATGCCAGTTGCCTCTCCCTTCAAGGCTATGACCTGGTCGATGACTTTGTCCAGGTGGTCTATATATTTATTGCAGACCTGGGTTGTGAGTTTGTTTTAGCCAAAAAAACTCTATTGCGGAGATCAGTGCGTCCTTGCTCATCGGCTTGGCCTCACAGCGAATGTATCTTTTCATGGACGCCCACACTAACTCAATGGGGTTCAGATCCGGCGACCTTAAACAAAAACACATGGACATGTCAGCACTGTTAGCCTATTTTCCGATACAGCATGTATTCATCCAGAATATATATATATATAAAATAACTACGGTAACTCACTCTGCCGGTGTCGGTACCCAGTTGATCCCCTCACTTTCAATGCAGGCTTTGACACTTTTTGCTGTGTGTTTTGGATCGTTGTCTTAAAAAATCAAACAGGACAAATTAGGAGGACAACTTAATCATTAAACAAACATTAGTAGCCTAATCATCACGACGTTGCTTTTGTCATAATCATGCTGAAGATTTGGAATACAGATTGTTAGCCTACCTTGGAAGAATCTATGTGTAGACATACGGAAATGCTCCCTTAAGTATGGACCAGCAGCTTTTTTGATGATTTCTTCCGCGTAGAAGTGTTGATCCATTATACCTGCGGGTTTAAATAATATGTTAGCATATTGTAACAATTTATTTAGCATAGCCTACTTTGCATGCATTGCTTTCAAAACTTCATCACTCACCGTCAAAAATGACCAACGGACCAGGTCCCCATCGAGAAATTCCACCCCAAACATGCATTTTGACCGGGTGCTTCACTCTTGGTTTTGCAATGCCCCTGAAGTTGGTCTTTCTCCAGCACTTCAAGGCAAAACGTTCCAGTGCCACAGTTGACTCGTCAGTGAAGAGAACATCATCAAACTTTTCACCTGCAGCCTTCCATTCTTGAGCCATATACATTAAATATTGTGATATGTTTTGATAAACCGAACGTTACGTTACATCCTCCGCTCAGTGAACGCACTGCCGTCTGGGCTCCGAGCGCGGACCATAGACACGCGGACTCGCGTCTCTCTCTCTCTGCTCGCGTCTCTCTCTCTCTGCTCGCGTCTCTCTCTCTGCTCGGGTCTCTCTCTCTGCTCACGTCTCTCTCTCTCTCTCGCGTCTCTCTCTCTCTCTCTGCTCACGTCTCTCTCTCTGCTCGTGTCCCTCTCTCTCTGCTCACGTCTCTCTCTCTCTGCTCGCATCTCTCTCTCTCTGCTCACCTCTCTCTCTCTCTCTCTGCTCACGTCTCTCTCTGCTCGCGTCTCTCTCTCTGCTCACCTCTCTCTCTCTCTCTCTCTGCTCGCGTCTCTCTCTCTCTGCTCACGTCTCTCTCTGCTCACCTCTCTCTCTCTCTCTCTCTCTCCACCTCTCTCTCTCTCTCTCTGCTCACGCCTCTCTCTCTCTGCTCGCGTCTCTCTCTTTCAGCTCACGTTCTCTCTCTCTCTGCTCGCGTCTCTCTCTGCTCACGTCTCTCTCTGCTCACGTCTCTCTCTCTGCTCACGTCTCTCTCTCTCTGCTCACGTCTCTCTCTGCTCGCGTCTCTCTCTCTCTGCTCGCGTCTCTCTCTCTCTGCTCACGTCTCTCTCTCTCTCTCTGCTCTCGTCGTCTCTCTCTCTCTGCTCGCGTCTCTCTCTCTCTGCTCACGTCTCTCTCTGCTCACCTCGCTCTCTCTCTCTCTGCTCACGTCTCTCCCTCTCTGCTCACGTCTCTCTCTGCTCACCTCTCTCTCTCTCTCTCTGCTCGCGTCTCTCTCTCTCTCTACTGCTTACACAGCGAAACATCCATCCAAACGAAAGTCTCTTCCGCTCCGCGCTTCCTGGTTCTGTCATTCTGTGGTCACACCATCCACGTGCAAAAGTGCCATAGTGTTCCATATTGTGAGACGCTAGCTCCAAAGCTAACAACAGCAGAGCCCAGGCTGCGGGGGAGTGGGGTAATGGGGGGCGAAAGCTCAGTGGAGGAGGGCGAGCTGAGAGAGGGAGGACATCGCTCGCGTTTGAAAATGTCTCCAAATCAGTTAGTGCAGCTTTAAGGCCTGCATGCAATTTTCAGATAGTCTGTTTATCTTTTTGTCTTTTGCTTATAAATTTGTGTGGATTGCAGTGTTTGATTTACTGTTGTTCATTTTACAACTGTATATAATAACGGATTACTTGTTTGATAGAAGCCTACCTCTAAAGCCGTGTTCAGACTGGATCATGCGTCGCGTTGACTTATAATGCAAAATCAATGGGGACGCGCATTCGAGTCTGGAACTGCTGTGCGTCTCAGGATGCTCGCACGGAGTATGCGGCAAAGGCGCAGAAGTGGAAAATCAACGTACGCAGGCAATAAATGTTGCTGAGCGTTGGCTCGGACGCTCATGGAGCGACCAATCAGAGAGCCGCAAAGTGGTCACGGGGACATTAGCAGTCCGAGCGAGCAGACTGAATGTGCTAGTAAACAGCCTATACAGGAGCTAAACCAGGACTAACCCAGGGTTGACAATGGGGGACTCTGTGCTTATGGACATATGCGTTCTCATGTTCCCGTGACTTTATGCAACTGCTTCGAGCATGTTTGCTGATGCGGAGGTACCGTTTAGTAATAAATCAAACTTATGGCGCACCTCCGTGAACACATACTGCTTTTAAATATAGTCTGACACAGACGCTGCAGAGCTGCATTATTGGAGCAGAACTTAACACAAAAAGATGCTAGCTTAACTCCGTCAGCATCAAAGTCTGCCCACTACTTCCGCCACTTCCGGCGGGCACCACCGTAGCCCAGGACTTCAACACCTCTGCGTTGGAAATTTGGGAATGTGCGTCTGGTGCGCGAGACATCAGCGTTCCAGCGTCTGCGGTCTGAACTCGCCTTAAGAACCCCCATTCCTAAAGCTGAGCAATTTGAGTTTCCTGGTAACTTATTTTGGTGTGTACATTATTGAGAAACTAATTCAATGTATTTTGTTTTATCTTCTTCACCCCTTCATATTCCATGCCCGTGTGATGTGTGTGTGGACCGACGGTATGTCTGGATCAGAAAATGTACCCGGTATAACGCCATGTCTGACTTAGATACTTATCTTAAAGTAGACTTAAAGCTGCACTAACTGACTTTATTTTTGTATTCATTATGAAAATGCTATCCATGTCCATGCAGTGCATTGGGATATACGTAGCCTGGCCATAGCCATCCGTACACTCCGCTCAATTATCATTTCACAACGGTCTGGGTCTGGTCCCTGTGTTAGCGAATACAATCGGCTACTCAGAGAGCGCGTTGTAGGTCGGTGCTGGTGACGTCAAGAGTTTGCGCCGAACGGGCAGGTTGTAGTTTGGCAATGCCGAAGAATGCCATAGTAAAGTAATCCGGTCTGGTTCTATCAAGAAATTGAAGCAGGAGCAAGAGGAATGTTTAGCAAATGTAATCGCTGGTCAAGATTGTGGCGCTACTCCCCACAGGCTTCGTTAGCAGCAAAGGAGATGGCTAGGCTAAATGCTAAATGCTAACGACTCACTCGGGCGCATTACATACGTCACGGACGTAAACTCAGATCCAATCGTTTCTATCTGCAAAAGGAGTTAACCCCTCCCACCTGTTCACGGAGCTCAATGGAGCAAATCCAGACCTTAGTATGAAATGAAATTTGTACTAAGGTGTGGTAAAACCAGGCTAGGATATACGTCCATTTGAAGAAAAAGTAGGACAGGTTTGTGCTGGCGTGACATTATATTTTACATCGAGTTTTGATGAAACAAGGAAGAGAATGTGTTTCAGGTCTCTGATTGTGACCAATCACAGCGGACCACTGGCCCCCACCTTCGTAAGAAACCTACAGGTCCTGAGTTAGCACAACAAGCGGCGGAGCTAACCTGAAACTTCCTCGTCTTCGTCACCAGCGAAACAGCCATCCAAAAGAAAGTCCTGTTCCTCCGTGCTTCCTGGTTCTATCGTTCTATGGTCACGCCATCCACGTGCAAATCCATATGCATGTATTATCCATATTGGAAGACGCTAGCTCCGTCAACAACAGTGGGTGTGTGTGGTAGTGATGTAAAGTTCGATTCATTTTACTGACTCGAGTTAAAGTGAATCACTCACCAAAGTGAATCGGGTGTTTTGAGTCATTTGATTCAGTGATTCAGTTGTTCAGAAAAAAACATACATGAACACAAAATAATGCTAAAATGGCAATTTACAATCAAAACATTTATTAAAATTTGATAAATGGTAACAATAACAAATATGTAAACTAATTTGACAAAATATAAACTCTTTAAATTTAACAATTCAACAGTAAAATTGTGAACAAAGCAGCAACAACATTCCAAGCGAGGGGCTGTCACAATACAAGAAATACAATAACACGAACAGATTTTTTATTGTTCTGTATAAAAAGCTGGCATGCATGCAGGCCCTTTAAGGGGCGGAGTCTAGCCCACCGGAGCCGCCACACGGAAATTGAGTGAAAATAAGGAGAGATGAGAAAGGAGCGGAAAGGAGACGGAGTTGACACCCTTTACTAAAGGGCCTTTAGTGTTTAAGTACTGTAAGTTTCATTTTGCAAGTTTGTCAGTGTACTTTGATGTTTGTGCGTGAATTACAAGTAAGTGTTTAATGTCATGAGCCGAGTTTCTAGTGAAATGTATACGGTTTCATTGTTAATTGGTGCCATGCCCTGTTCACGTGAACAATTAATGAAGAGCAACCTACACGGTTTTTATATAGAGTTGAATATACTGTAGTGTTTTTTATTTGTATAGAGACTAATATCCTATTTTTTTCTGTTTTATAGAACCACACTAAAGTTATTCAAGTCTGCACCAAGTCTAAACCGTACTAAATCAATCAAGACTCCTTTTGGAGTTGTTGCATACGCAATACAGTAGGTGGGCCATATTTTCTTATTTGGAAAATTAAATCGCAGCGTGAGGGAAGAAATTCACGGTGTTTTTTCGTAGGGGCAAGACGCAAGTTATAAATTGTAATTATAAATTGGCATTGAGGAAAACAAGCTGCTGGACTTTGCGCGAGGTGAGCCTGTTTCTTCTGTCAGTCAGGATTTGCCCTGTTTTTGAAAAGATGCGCTCTGACGGTACTGATGTCGCCACAACGCAGAGTCTGGTTTTCATTACATCACATGCATTTTTGAACACAGTGGCTCGAGATCTCCACCACTCCAGAGGGTCGTTGGTTCTGAGAAGGAGATGCTCAGAGAGGTACCCTTTGATCTCAAGCATGGCCTCTGTTAACGGGTTTTGCACTTGCGAACCTGGCCGAAAAGTGGCAACACGCTCCTCAAAATCTGCCCACAGCATTGGCTCATTGGTTGCAGGTCTGACATCTAAGCCAGCCTCCTCTCTCTCTGCATTGGATGCTGCAGTGTTTTTTCTTATGGAACGAGATATTGCCCCCACAGTTCTTGTCACAGCCTCCTCAGCATGTCTTTCATGGACAAACGCATGCTTTTTGAATCTTGGGTCAAGGAGAGTAGCATCTGCTAGGGGGCCGACCTGTTCAATCCCTCCTAGACGCCTGGTAATTTCTGCCATCAGGATTCCAACCATTTCTTTTACAGGTTTGTGAAGGTTTGGATTTCGTTGATGGTGTGCTGTAGACCTCTGGAGGCCCCTTGCCATTAAAATGGCTTTAGAACCAGTCACAAATCTGTAGTAAAAAAAAACAAAGTTTGTATTATATTTTTAACATAATATCATACAGCTATTTATGCATATTTATTTATTGGTTCACATGGCTGTCACAATTTGTATATTTTCAAAATGTTTATTCAAATAATTTAAGTACTGTGTGTGTGTGTCATGTATTTATTTATTTATTTGTATTTATTGCCATTAATGCTATTACATACTTCTCTGCACTCAGCTCCACTGTAACTTCTTCAAAGGGCTGCAGGACGTCACAGGCCTCCTTGATGATCTCCCAGTCCGCCTGTGACAGCACTTGAAGTTGGGGATTAATCAAGGCCAGTGTGGAGATGAGGGGCTCCTTGACCTCTGTGATCCGCTTCAGCATGTAATAGGTAGAATTCCACCTTGTAGCCACGTCTTGCTTCAGGATAAGTTGAGGCTGGCCCATCTGCTGCTGCATCTCCCTCAGTTTTGCTGTGGCCACTGTACTTCTGCGTGTGAACTCGGTTATGGATTTCACCTTTTTAATGATCTCCTGCATCTCAGGCTGCTGTGTTGCACTTCGAACTATAAGGTTTACAATGTGTGCAAAACAGCTCACGTGGTTCCAGCGCAAAATATCCTTTACAGCTTTTTTAATGTTGGCCGCGCTGTCACTGACACAAGCCACTATTTTATTTGTAATGTGCCAATCATTTGCAACGCGTTGTAATTGCTCTGCCAGATATGCTGATGTGTGACTGTCTGTGAGCTCGAAACAGTCCAACAGGTTTGACTGCAGTTTGAATTCACTTGTTACAAAGTGACATGTCACAGTCATGTAGCCTGTTGTGGTGCAGCTAGAGGTCCAGCAGTCAGTGGTGAGACACAAAGCAGAGGCCATCTGTACCTTCTCCAGGAGGTCGGCTCTCATCTTTTCATATAGTGAAGGTAAGAACTGTTTGGTCAGTGTTGTGCGACTTGGAATTACATATGCAGGATTCAGTTCATGAGTGTACTCACGAAATCCCCTGTCATTCACAATAGAAAACGGCTGAAAATCTACGGATATCATTTTGATGAGAGCTTGGTCGATTCTGCTCTGCTGTAATGGCATTATGGGCCTTGACACAAATGCACCCATGTGAGTTTGCTTCTGTTGGCTCCTTTGCAGTCCTTGTCCTGTTTGCAGGTGAGACCTTTGGTATGTCATAGTTGCTGCTGAGCTAGATGGCGTGCCAGAAGATGGGGTGGCTATTGCTGGAGGTGCTGCTGCTGTGCCTGTCGCTGAAATAGATGGCGCAGGGTCTGTTGGAGGACGACAATAATTTATTTTACTTGAAAAAGTACTGCAATGTTCATTAAAGTAAAATTACATTCTATCTATTCATATTTTATTTATTCAACGTGTGTTTATGCATAACATACAGTTTGTTGGGTAGAGTAGCTAAAATATTTACTCAAGAGTAACGTTACTTAGAAATAATTTTACCTAAATTAAAAGGTAGTGATCCAAATATATACACAAGTAAAAAAGTACTGAATTATATATAACTACTCTAATAAGTACAGTTTATTCAAAAACTTACTCAAGTACTTGTACCCACCTCTGATATTATCTATTATTGCCCAATGCCTAATATGTAGTCTAATCATAGCATACATAGTATCTTTCTGCAGTCAGCAAATGTCGGCCTACTACAACGGACTATTATAATATTAGAAAGTGTTTGCTTAGTTATTGCATTTTACACTTAAATAATTACAGTCTCTTACAATTTTTGCCGTAACTTACCAATAGTAGCCGTTGCATTTTGGTGGCGCTGTAACGCAACTATGGGGTGTTTGCTGGCTAAATGCCGTCTCATATTTGATGTGGTCCCTCCTTGAAATGATAAAACAACCTTGCAGAGTTGACATTTTGCTCGTGATGGGCCTGTTCTTTCAAAGTGCATCCAAATATCGCTTCTTCTGCGGCTACTATCCATTTTCTATAAAAATATTAAAAACTTTCCGCCAAAAATGCGGTGTTACATAAATGTATTCCGTGTTAAAACCTACATTCCTGGTAAAAAAAAAAAAAGGTCATAACAATTATATTATATAAATAATAAATACAAACAACTTTGATATTTTTCACACATTCATTTTTTATTGATGACAATCATTGTAACGCCAATAATGTTCGAGGCGGAACTCCTGTTGTCCGACGAGAGAAACACAGCTGAACAAATAACTTAATAAATAGCCAATTATATTTTTCAATCTACCTCACATAATACATGTAGAGGGTTATTATTTTTTGTCAGAAAAGAAACTACTTTTTTCAACCCAGTTAGAGAACGAGAGTTACGAGACGAGTCGGTGTCCTGTCCTCAGTGTCCTGTTGTTTCGACTCGCTTGATGCTGAGTGAGTGAGTGAGTCAGATCAGATGAACGATTCGTTCAGAGCTGAACGACTCGAAGGGGAGCGGGAAGGGGCTGATCCAGAACCACAGTGAGTCGTTCACTGCTCGTACGGCTCGTACTAGCAGGCGCGGGCAGGCAGGAAGGAGGACGTTACGGTGAAGTAGGTGGTTGTAAACAATAAGCTTTTGGTTTCTGTGCTCAAACGAGCTACAGTACACACACACACAGTCACACACGTAATATTAGAGTGTCATTCATTGTGGCTAGTAGAAAACGCAGTCTGGGGGTCGCAGTTTAGAAAGTGGTGGGCGGACGAGTTAGTGAACGAGTTAATGGAGGCTGGGAATCACGACTCCCGAGTCAGTAAAGTGAATCTCGAGTTTTGAACGATTCGTTCACGAATCGCACATCACTAGTGTGTGGGGGGCGATAGTTTCGTGGGTGCGGGGAGGGGAGCAGAAAGAGCGAGGAGAGCTAGTCCACGGCTTCAAAATCCCAAAGTTAGTTAGTCCAGCTTTAACACATTTAAATTATAATTAATAATTTTTGCTGTTAGTTTTTGTCTCTGTCCTCAATGTCCTCCGAACCTGTGTCGTTTTAAAAACATTAGGGTGGCGTTGCAATTGGTGTCCGAGGTAGTGCCCATGAATGTTTAGTAGTGGTAATATGTCTGCACCGGTCCCTCAGATTCAGATTCATTTATTTGCCATTTGCAGTAAAACCACATAGGAAAAACTGTGCAAGGCTACCCCGGTGTGCACCAGACACACACCATGGCTCTTGCCTCGATGCTACAAATAGTTATATCTTCCAATAGCCATCACTTATATAGACTGTTTGGACTGAAACATGAATCTCTCAGTCTCTCGGTCCAGCTTTGAGTCTCGGTCAATATATTTTTTGTATCCTACACTTTTTATCTAATCAAGAGAGAGCTCGGAATAGGGGGGTTTCTCTCTGTGTGCACGCGCTCTCTCCAAAACAAACATGGCGGAGAATATGATTAATACAAATTATTACTATACATGAATCACAACTTATAATGGTAATATTCTCTGATTTGAATAATAAATAACAGAATACCTATTTAATATAGTAATTATACGGTCATACCTGTCTCTATAGCGGGGGTCCACCAAAGTTGCAAGGGCATGTGGTTCCTCCTTGACAGAACTGAAGCGGCTGTTCAGTGCTAGTAATAAGGTCGTTTAAATTGTTTATATCCCAACATCTTCTTCGCATTCTTTTGCTAAAAGACACTTGAGGACAGTGATGGCTGGAATTACATCAGTAGCCGATGCAGTAGACTCTGCATCGGCTACTGATGTAATTCCAGTAGAGAAACTGACCTTTCTTGTGACTTCTTCAAACTAGCCAAACAATAATTTCTTTCTCCAACAAGGCTCACCGTAGAGCAGTCAGAGTTGAAGACAGGTAATAGTCAGAAACATTTGCACTGAGGACTCATTTTTGCTCCAAAAGGCTCTCTATCATGTAAAAGGTGCTATTCCACCTCGTTTTCACAGCATGTCTGAGGATGTCTGACCTAATATTCTACACGGGAAATTCTTGCAGTAATTTTTCTTGCTGAAAGAAAGATGGGGGCTATTTCCCTTCTGCGCAATGGCCAGTTTGGACCCATCAGAGAGCGGAATATCCCTGAAAGGACGTCACTGTTTAAGTTTTGGTTGTAAACATGTCACAGTACAGATGCACAGCGCACTTTGTTTTTATGCATGCTTTTATTGTGAAAAGTGTTTTATCGTATTCAGCACTGTGTGTTTTTACTTCCTAAGATGGTTAAAACGAACAGGACCAACAACTATCATCACAACAGACTCTTTCACAACCTTTGGCGACACGCTACACATTGTCCTGCCTGCAAGCAAGTATATCCATTAAGAGTTGTACAAACTTTGATTGGACTCATGGCTAAAAGTGGTGCTAATGCTAAGGCCGCGAAAACGGCCATCCCCCATGACTACTGCGCGCTCGAGGCAATGGAAACTGAAGTAAAACGGAATAAAAATGCCTTTACCTCGCCATCTAAAGCTACTCAACAACCTCTAAAGAAAATAAAACCCAACGATGTCACTCCTCTTGATTCCAGTATGGGTTCTGCTTCCATTGCTGACGTTTTGAATGAAATACAATCACAATCCGGAGAGATTCATGGTGCGTTCAGACCAAACGCAATTTCTGCGGCCAAAGCGGCGGGTCTACATTGACACAACATGGGGGACGCGCACCAAGGAGCGGCGAGAGATCACGCGGCGCGAATTCGAGCGTTTCGCGCGATTCGAGCGTTTCGCGCGACGAGTTTTGAGATGTCAAGCGTTTTGAGATGTCAAGCGTTTTGACGCGCGTTTCGCGCGATTCGTGCTTCCAACCCGGCCGCCGCTAGAGTTGAACAATGTTGAACTTTTTGGGAGAATTCGCGTGTGCCGACCAATCAGGAGCTTTCTCCTACAGTGACGTAGTGACGCATTTCACTACCGGGAAAACACTAGTAGATGACAGCTATGGAGGACACGTCAATTGCTCAGGTCGGTGCTCATTCTGAGCTATATAACACTGCGGACCACAGCTACCGGGACCGAAATAAAAAGGAGCTTGCTTGGAGGAGGGTTAGCGAGGTGGTTGGTGTCTCGGGTAAGTTATTTTCACAGTTGTAAAAATTTCCTGCTTACGAGTTGATGTGTTTATTCAGTGGAAGTTTGCAAAAAGCGGTGGAAGAATCTGAGGGACACATATGCTAAGGAGAGCAGGAAGGAGAAGGAGAAGGTGAAGAAGAGTGGTGCAGAAGCAGGGAAAGGCCAGACGTGGAAGTACCTTGTGGTCATGTCCTTCCTCGAGCCCTACATCACTCCCCGTGACAGCTCCGGGAACATGCCAAGGCGAAGGGCCGAGGAGGAGCAGACCACAGGGTACAACCACCCAGAAGAAGAGCCAGAGGAAGCAGCAGCAGCAGGGCTGTCAGGTGTCGGTGTCATGCAGCAAACAGAGACCTCGAACAGTTGGAAAAAATACATTTCTTTCCTTTTTATTACCCACATTTTGCTGACTTTTACATTTATATTGCTTTCTGTGTATGCATTTTTTTTAATGCTTTCTTAACATCATGGCCAGGTGAAAATAGGCATTGGCTATTTT